AACAAAGAGGCAGCCAACCAGATGGGAGATGATATTTGCAAACAGTGTAGCTCAGACAAAGGTTTAATTTCCAAAACATATAAAGAACTCATAAAACGCAACACCAAACAAGCAAACAAATAACCCAACCAAAAAGTGGGCAAAGGACCTGAAAATGCACCTCTCCCAAGGAGACATATGAACAACAACTAGATATATGAATAGATGTTCAACCTCAATGGCAATTAGGGAAACGCCAATCAAAACTACAATGAGATACTATCTCACACCTGTTAGAGTGGCTATTATCAAGAAGACAAGCAATAACAAGTGTTGGAAAGGTTGTGGAAAAAGGGAACCCTCATTCACTGCTGGTGGGAATGTAGACTGGTACAACCACTATGGAAAGCCATCTGGTGCTTCCTCAGAAATTTAAGAATAAAGCTACCATATAACCCAGCAATCCCTCTCCTGAGTATATACTCGAAAAACTTGAAATAATGTATTAGCAAAGATATATGCATCCCTATGTTCATTGCAGCATTATTCATGGTGGCCAAGACATGGAAACAACCAAAGAGTCCTGTGATAAAGGACTGGATAAAGAAGATGTGGTACATATACACAATGGAATACTACTCAGCCATAAGAAAGAATGAAATACTGCCATTTGCAACAACATGGATGGACCTGAGAATATTATGCTAAGTGAAATAAGTCGGTCAGAAAAAGCTAAGAACCATATGATTTCACTCGTATGTGGGATATAAACCTAAAATATGTGGACATAAACAGCAGTGTGGTAGTTGCCAGAGGGAAAGGTATTGGGGGTTAAGGGAGCCCTAATATATGGTGACAGGAGAATATTTGACTTTGGTGGTGGGCACACAGTGCAATATAGATCTTGTAACATAGAAACACACACATGAAACCTATATGATCATAATAATCAATGTCACCCCAATAAATTTAATTTTAAAATTAAATTAAATTAAAGGACAATAAAGGCAATTAAAAGCAAATCTCTAAGTGCCAGTTCTTCCAAGAGCTAACTAGCTTGGTTCAGGTGTAACTGTGATGAAAATGGTCAGTTCTTAACAGTTTAGAAAATTCTCCAGTTCTCTGTGGGGATCATATCAAATGAGGTTAAAGAATTCCCAGGAATCAATTCACTCAAATTTGTGGGGTCTTTTTGAGACATAAATTTTAAAACTTTTTTAAACTATAAAAGAAATTCTCATTATAGAATATTCAAACAGTTATAAAATACATAGAATCAAACCAGAAAGATCCTCTTCAACACCCACTGTAATTCCAGGCTCAAACTGTTTACAGTGTGCCTTCCCAATTTTTTTCTATGCATTTACCGGCATATATATATATATATATTCTTACACAAATACAAAAATCTTTACCAGTTATGTAAACTTCCTCATTCTTTTATTTTCTTAAAATTTGTTTTATTGTAGAAAAACATGCATACAGTAGCCTCCCCTTATCCATAAGGGATATATTCCAAGACGCCTGAAACTGCAGATAGTACTAAACCCTATACATACTGTGTTTTTCCCTATACATACACACCTATTATAAAGCTTAATTTATATGTTAGGTGCAGTAAGAGATTAATAACAATAACTAGTAATAAAATAGAAAATTATAACAATATACTATAATAAATGTTACATGAATGTAGTCTCTCTCTTCTCTCAAAATGTCTTATTGTATTGTACTTAAACTTCTTGTGATAATCTGAGAAGATACAATTCTTATGTGATGAGATTCAGTGAAGTGGAACTTTCCTTTTAATATTTTCAGACCGTGATTGACCTTGGGTAGCTGAAACCATGAAAGCTAAACCATGGACAGGGATGAGGTCTACTCTACCATAACATTTACCATTTTAACCATTTTCCAGTGCACAGTTCAGTGGCATTAAGTACATTCACAGTGTTGTGTGACCATCCCCTCTATTTCCAGAACTTTCAAATTGTTCCAAATAGAAAATCTGTACCCATTAAACAATAAGTCCCCATTCTCTTCTCTCTTCAGTCCCTGGTGACATCTATTCTACCTTGTTCCTATGCTCTTCATTCTTTTAAAATTGCTTTTGAAAAGGTAATACAGAGACATTATAAACATTCTAACAATAGGAAAGGGCATATTCAATGTTAAATACTTTTTCCTCTCATGCTTGAACCCCCTGCAACCAGTGTAATCAGTTTCTTGGATATCTTTACTAATGAGTCTGTGTATATAGAAGCATAAATGGACATATACCATCCCCCCTTTTTTACAAAGTAGTAGCAAGCCATACACAGCTTGATTTTTTCATTTAAAGGTATCTGACATGTATACATATATATAATGCATATATAATGTGTAATATAATGTGTATGTGTGTATATATATATATACATTAATAAAAGGGTAATATGCTAATTAGACCAGGTCAACTGGACATCTTCTGGTCATCCGGTCCTCTTTCTGTACAAAGTCACAGTGGCAGGGGCCAGAGCAGAGGCGGTTAGAGGCAATCAGGCTGGCAGAGGAGCAGTTAGGGGAGATCAGGCTGGTAGGGGAAAGCAGTTAGGAGTGATCAGGCAGGCAGGCAGAGGCAGTTAGGGGCGATCAGGCAGGCAGGCAGAGGGGTTAGGGGTGATCAGGTAGG